TGACATAGACATTTGTAGTGTGACTTGTTTGGGTCACTATTGTCAAAGAAAAATTCTAGGACAAAGAAAGGACTATGTAAAACAATCAAAATAATGCAAACACACCTACAAATCACAATCTATAGACAGTTTTAAGCCTGAAAACCTGTTCTACCTGTTCTTAACTAGAAAAAGAGGGCCACATCTTGTTTGTAATTGCCTTGTTATACAGCTAACACCTCTCCAAGAAGATAATAAAGATACATTGACAGGGTTCACAGCATGAAACGTAATGACTCTCAATTACCACAGGTCTGCTCTTAATGGGGGATTGTGGTTGCATTGTTTACTCACCGTGATTAGCCAGCAGCTGATGTACTTATACAGGTTTATTTTCACCCACACTAGCATGTACACACACTTGTACCAGAATGGATGTGCCTGAATCACAGATTAAAACAAAGGATGAGATGAAATTAATCACTTCCGATGAATTATAAAAGGTCAAGTCTTATTTCATTTTGAACACGATTTTGCCTTACAAAACCATTCCAAAAATAATATGTTTTCAATTTAATTTACATCCAAGGGCCAAATTCACAAAAATCTTAAGAATGAAGTTAAGACATTTCATAAGATACATTCCAAGAAGTCCATAAGAATGTTCCTAAGTGCAAATTTAGATGAATTCTTAAAAAACTTCTCAAATATTGACTTTATTTCTTAAGAAGACAATAACAGGCTTTGGTGTTTATCTGAATGTAGGGTGATTATTGCCGAAAACTGCCTGAAGATTACCTTTGTAATCATAAGCGTCTGACTCGATGGGAGTTCAGCACTCAGTGTTGCGTTTTTCTAATTCACCATGTATTTTGAATTGTTACTTTTAAACAGCTCATCTCTAGAGTGAGTGGTCTGTTGCATTCTTTTCATTTTGCTGTTTCTAGAGTGAATGTGTCCTTTATCTGTGTGTGTGTGTGTGTGTGTGTGTGTCTGTGAGCTGCTAGAGTGAACGTGTCCTGTGTGTGGGCACTCTCATTTGTGCTGAATGATGATGTTGAAAGTTACGCTGTAATTTTAAAATTAAAGGGGTCATTGAATGCAAAATTCACTTACAAGTTGTTTGAACATAAATGTGTGTTGGCAGTGTGTGTACACATCCACCCTATAATGATAAAAATCCACCCAGTGATTTATTTTTTTTAAATCCCCAATAATAATAATCACTTTCTCAGATCAGGCTGTTCTGAGATTCTTGGCAGAGTGATGTAGTTCTGCACAGGCCCCTCCCACAATCGTTGATTGACACTGCCGTTTTAGCGTAGCCCCGCCCTGAGTGAGCTGTCATCAGTCCATCATTGTTTCGACGTCGGAGCAGGGGTATAGACAAGATTGTCTCCCAACGCAGTGGATTACGTTTGTTTCCGAAGGGAATACGCCCCCGATCTGCCTAAATGCGTCTATGTTCGCATGAATCATTCGTGATCCAGCTTCACCTACAGAAGAAGTGAGTACAAGGTTTTTAATAAATCTTTGCAAATCGCCTTTCCTAATAATGTGCTAGTTAGCAAGTTCCGCAGCAAAATGCGGCTAAAGTTACCAGTCTCATGAGAACGGCTCGTGACCCCACGGAAGAGAGGGGCGAGGTGAGCAGAGCTCATTAGCATTTAAAGGGACATGCACTGAAACGGGTCTCTGTGAACAGAGCTGATTTTGACAAGGTAAGAAGGGTGTCGTTTTACACTACCATTGAGAAATTTTAACCAAAGTATGTTAAAGACTTTTCATTAAGACCCTAAAGAATCATATCAACTTGTGCAAAATGGGCATCCGATGACCCCTTTAAAACTATTTTATTGATTTGGCGTCACACATAATCATGACCAATAATTGTTACACATCCCTAGTTGTAATATGTAGCTAGTGTTTACTTACAACAATTCATTGGAATCAAGCCAATTAATTAAAAATCTTATTTTTGGGGATTGAAGACAAATTGGCAGTTATTCACTTTAAGATGTTATTGTAATTTTTTTTTAAGACGATTCTTTTCAAGAATTAAAAACGTAAGAAATTGTTTAAAAAAATTTTTGGGAAAGTTATTCTCTTAAGTAAGGAAATAAGAAGCAAATGGCAAATAGCAGTAATGTTGCATGAATCCGGCACCTGATCAGTAAGCAAATTATTTCTGTGAGTGTCTGTAAAAAGGGGTTCAAATAATGACAATGAATAAGGATTTCAAAGACTTTTCAGAGTTGTTTGACACTCAGAATAACGAATGATTAAATTAGCAATTAAATATAATGATCTCCTTGCAAGGGACCCACTTAAGATATAAAGACAACTACATTACATTATATATTTAACATGAAGACACAATTATGTCTGAGAGAAATAATGTGATATTACTGTATACAGGCAATGTGTTCAAAATGTAATTCAAATTTAGAAATATATGATAAAAAAATCAAGCAATTCAAAAATAATTAAATGATATTCTCATTGTACAAAAGTAAAATGAAATTATTAAATATTATTTGGAAGACATTTACATTGTTTTAAATTCACAGCATTGGTTTTCTACCAAGTATTATAGCAGTGTTAAATCAATAAATGTTTTTAGGTTTAGTTTACAGTCTCACTGCCTGAATGATTGCTGAAATGTGTTAAGTGACATTTGATAAGCTAAACAGATTAAATTAATACAACTGAGTGTCGATGAACACCCGTAACAATACTCATTTTCAACATTTTTCACTCTTTGTGTGAGCTCATTTTAACTCCCTCCTCCACCGCAGTCAAAATGCAGTTATTTGACTTGCAGCAACTGTTTTCCATTTTCAAGAATATATAGATGCCAAGACTGTAACTGACAGACTTAGAGCGCTCTCATTCAGACTGGGAGTTTGTGTGACATCAGGACAACACTGAAAAGATCCCAGAACAAAAACAAGTGACATCTCACGAGATTCAGGTACAAGGCTGTTGATTTTGTGACTCTGTGTATTCACTTACCTCAAACTCATCTGTTAAGAAGTAGCTATCCGAGTAGTGTCGCCCACCTATTGCAAAGACTGATAGGGTGATCAAACCTAAACCGAATCGCTTCATTGCTGGAACCACACTGCAAGAGCAGGAAACATTTGTTGGATTAAATTGTTAATTAACAGAGGACTATAATAATGGTAATAACTATTTATAATGGGCCTTAACACTACTGGTTAAGTTGATGTCAAAACAGTGTTGCCTAAACCTTGTTCACACTAACAATAATTTGCATTTGTGACAAAACATATAATTCATTTTCAATTTCCAACAACAGCGACAATTGGAGTCATGATATGTGTGCGCCGGCAATTCAACAAAGTTGAGAAAAGCTTAACTTTATGTAAATATCAGAGACGCTATGTGGTGACTAACAATGGGAGCAAAGACTGTTATTTTTCTGCATAATGTTATTGTGAGTTTTACTCTCCTCTGTATTTCCCTCTGCTCGCATACAGGGATATAATAAAAAAACGATGTCTGAAAAAGCGTGTCAAAAAGTGTCTGCATTTTGATTGACTTTTCATGCATTGATAATCATTTATTTTCCTCATGATATGATGCATTATGCACTGCTGCAATTCATATACAAACAACAAAATACAGAATGTTCATTTTCAGCAGAAAGAAAACTAATGTCTTTTCAAGATGAAATGATATCTTATTAATATGAGAAATGCATCCCATTTGTAATTAGATTTTCTAACTCTAGGACCAGTTGTGCAGCCAGCCAATAACATCAGAGCATCCAGTGCCTATATGAATGTCTATAGCTTAATGGAAAAAAGATAAAAAAAAGATTATGCATGTTGCAAGAGCACTAAGAGTTACTAAGACTTGTTCATTATCACGGTGCCCTTGAGCAAGTAAAAGTCACAAGATAGGAACTGTCCCTGTAATGGACAAATGAATCCTGCAAATCACTTCGGATGAAAAGTGTCCACTAAATGCTAATAAACAACTGTTTACAGGAGGTAAAATCATTGGTTTGACAGAATCTGGTTGAGCTGGAATTGTTAGTGTGTAATTTTGTGCACTCACCTGTTGGGTGGTTGTCCAGGAACATCGGACATCTCTCGAGACACCAGATGCTGGTAGTTTTGCAGTGTAAACTGAGGCCCTACCAGGAAGCCTCCATAGAAGTATGAGAAACCAAAAACCTCCAACAAAGACGGTGTAGAGTTGAGAGCAGACTTCTTCTGGTCTGCACTCAGCTGAGACTGTTAGATAAAGAAAATGAGTCAATGAGTTAAAAGAGAGGGGCTGGGAAATTAGAAGATAACAGATATACACTACCATTTAAAAGTTTGGGGTTGGTAAGATTTTTTTTGTTTTGTTTTTGAAAGAAGTTTCTTATGCTCACTAAGGCAACATCCATTTCTATCAAGACACAGTAAAAACTGTTTAAGGTCCAGAAAGGTGGACATCGTTAAAATAGTCCATGTGACATCAGTGGTTCAACTGTAATATTACGAAGCTACAAGAATACTTTTTGAGCACAAAGAAAACTAAAAATAACGACAATTTCTTCTCTTATGTGTCAGTCTTCAACACGTGTTCACGAGAGTATCATGACTGATGAACCACTGATGTCACATGGACTATTTTAACGATGTCCTTACTACTTTTCTGGGCCTTGAACGTGTCAGTTGCGTTGCTGTCTATGCAGGGTCAGAAAGCTCTCGAATTTCATCAAAAATATCTTAATTTGTGTTCTGAAGATGAACAAAAGACTTACAGGTTTGGAATGACATGAGGGTGAGTAATTAATGACAGAATTAAAATTTTTGGGTGAACTATGCTGAATAAAAGTACTATTTTCTTTTTTTTTTATTATTATTGTTTGTACAGTAGTGTAAAAAAAAAAACGTTTGTTCCGCAGTGTAATTCAGACAGTTTGTTCTCCAGAACTACTTATGCAAAAATGTGGGATTCATTACAGGCAAAATGCTTTCAATTTTATACAGGGTCCAAAACATGAAGCAAAATTCATCCCCACTTAAACCACATTCGGAGGTTGAAACATCACATTTCTGACTAGAAATAAAATATATTTGGGAGAAATGGTTCACCGATTTTTTTGCTCTTCCATTCAGGCTTTTTTTTTTGCACTTTATCAACATGCAGTACGTGATATCATGTGTCTCCTTTGACCAGATGTGACACTACCATCTGCCGGATTACCTGTGATGGAAGTTAATACTAGGTGTAAACAGGGTTTATTATCGGTCATCCAGTAATCTTTACGTCCTCAATAAAACATTGCTTTAAGTCGAGTAAGAAACAGCTTTCTAGGGTGGCTACAGTAATTGACACAGAGGAAGAGATCAACAGAGATATAACCGCTTACACATCATCACATGAAGAAGCCAACTGTGTCGAGCCACAGCTACTATTAATATTTACACAGAGGTGTTTAATCTGAGCCACAGATGAGTTGACTGCAGTACAGAACTAACAGATGACAATTAAATCTTGGGGAACTTTCACTACACTTCACCTTGCCAGGCATCATTACACTTATCCATAATGGTCATTTAGCAGAATGGCTGCTACACAACTGAAGAAGATACTTTGTGGTTCCCCATCAGTTCCTTGTGCTCAAATCGTGCATAAAAATGCAAAGATTGATGCAAGAAGAGGAAAAGGAGTGAGATAATGATAGGAAGACGACAGGTGAACAAACACAGCAAAGGTAGACAAAAACGGTGGAAGTTAACAGCAGCTCATAAAGTCACACTCACTTGTTCTTTTCCACCGTCATAATAATCAAGTGCTAAACCTGCAATGAGAAAATGAAATCATCATCAGTGCTGGCATAACATGAGCTCTACCACTGACAGAGACAATCAATTGTTAAGAAAAAACCAAAGGTGATGCTGATCACATATTAGTGATAATACATCTTTTAAATAATGGAAAATTACAATATGTTAGTGACAAAAAAAACCCCGAAAATAAAGAATAATAACAATGGTAATTACAAGAGCACACTAACAAAAAGCACAAAAAGTAATAGTAAAATAGTAAAAAAGTAATATATTTAAAATACATTAATAAATACTAAATATAGTTCAAATCTATTAACATATTTACTGACATATCGCTCAATAAAAATTATAATTAAACTTTATTTGGAGTACTACTTGTGCACAATGCACACTATTAAGTCTAAAATGTGTTGACCACTGATGAAGATTTGTGATCTTTGAATAATATCAGTCTTTAAATGCAAAATATTTCAGTTGTACCTCAAGTATACTTGCAATAGTTTCACTGTAGCACAATCGAATATACTTCAGTATATCTTTAGTTGGACTTCAGCACTGCTTCCACACAATTAAAGTGCATTAAGTGCAAAATTAGTTGTTAGAATTTAGCAGACTTTAAGTATACCAGTTTAGTATACTAAAAGTACAATTGCAGGGTATTTTTATTAAGTACATAAATATGTAAATGTATTTGTAGTATACTTGGCATGAAATAAATGTATTTCAAATACATTTTAGCATATTTATCTTTCACTAGGGTTATCTGCCAATATATTTTTTATTTATTGTATGGGTGGATATTTATTTTGTATGTTCATTTTTTCCTCTATTTGACATTTACATTTCCTTTCAGTTATCTAACAGTAAAAATTATTCATACTATATGACCATTATTGTGTTTGTAACCATATGTCGATTCACCTTCAGAGCCTTGTGATAAATAGTTAAAAAGAATCAGTTTGTAAATATATAAATTCTGAGGAGTAACAAATGAGGAAGATTAAAAGCAGGTATCATACCGATGAGTTTGAGCGTGAGCACACAGTGAGGCATGGTCCATTTGATATCATACTCCTCTGTAGCTGTGTAGTAATAACCCATCAACAGATATATCTGCCACACAAAAAACACCCTCAGGATCTGTCGAGATTGACTTTACTGTTTTAATGTCTGGGGTCAAAGCGACCCAAAAGATATACATGTTAACTTTTATAATTAAGCTCTTATTTTCCCTTCACATTCTTTTAGGTTGTTCTGACCTAATCAAAACTCAGTTGGCACATATTTTTAAATCTTTACCACAATAGACATGCACTTTTCAGAAATGTGACTGCTAGACATTCTTTAACGTTAATGTTGTTTCCGCTTGGGTCAATTCGACCTTAGCAAAAACACTCTACAATAAAAAAAAAACACAATTACAAAACCAAAAAAGTAAACTATACAAGAATACACCAGTCAGAAAATAAAAAGTTTCATACGAGGCTCTGTGTGACCCAGACATAAAATAGCCTATAACATTTTTCATGGAGGATGGCTGTAAGGTAAGTCTTCATAAGAGTAAGAAAAGTCATGAAGTATTAGTCTGATACTTCAATGTTAAATATGTTTATATAAATGATCCAATAGGGTACTGATAAGCAGTGTTGGGCAAGTTACGCTGAAAATGTAATCAAATTACTGATTACTGATTGCTCCTTTTAAAAGTAATCACGTTACTGTTCTGATTATTTTATTTCAAAAGTAATTAGTTACATTACTAGTTACGTTACTTTTTTCTCCATGAAATTTATGAAATCCCAGCATATACGCTCCTGATACATATTTGTTATTAAAGCATCAACATTCACAGAACACAGTTATTTTTAACTAAAGCAAGCGGCTGCTGTGTGCATGGTTTGGCATGGCAGAATGCCAGCAAAGAGCGCTGCATTTATAATCTCTAAAAGACATCTCAGTTCATCGCAATCTCACAAACCTCTGCTATAACACAGTAAATATATGCATAATGAATCTTTCATAAAGTTTACAATTCGTGTGTTACAATGAGAGGATTCGTGATCACGCAAATTTCAGCACTGCATTGCTCAACGCTGCAAACACGTGTTATAGCCTAAATAGAAACTCTGCATATGCTTGCACCTGTTAATCGTTTATATTAGTTCATGTTGCTTTTGTGCAATAGATGAATAACAATTTATTTGTTTTAGATATTTTATGTTTAGATATTTCTATTTTGCGGGAGTCCTGTGAATCATTTTATTCTCCCGCATCCCGCACACACACGAGTCTCTGCACTCGCCTATCAAGTCTTGTCCCGCGCCGCACTCTGTTGCGTCGGGTCTCGCGGAAGCAGGTCTCTAATCCACTGGCACTTGACGGGACAGTGCGTGTGCTACATCCTTTTTACAATCTCTAGATTATAAAACACTGCATTCTGTCAGCAATGTAACGCGGCAGTAACGTATTGACACCTCGGCTTGTAACTATACTCTAATTACTATTTTGAAAATTATAACGCGTTAAATTACTCCGTTACTAAAAAAGTAATCAAATTACAGTAACGCGTTACTGCCCAACACTGCTGATAAGCTTGCAACATTTCATGCATGAGATCACGTCAAGAGTGCAGGAACAGATATAGAGATGCGTGTGTATGTGTGTGTGTGTGTGTGTGGTCTCACCATCTGAAAGATAAAGCTACTCAAAACGCATGTGACTGTCCTTCCCATCAGCCTCAGCAACAAGAACTGAATGACTATGCATAAGAAGGAGTGATAGACCTGAGACCCTGAGAGAAGGACATAGAGATGGTGTTATTGTGCTACCTGACCAGGACAACAATATAACACTTTATCAACATTATGAAGAATCAAAATAGAACAGAATACTTCATCCAAAATGACAGTTCTGTTAACATTTACTCAACCTCATGTCATTTCAAACCAGTATGATTTTTTTTCTTCTGTGGAACACAAAAGGAGGTTTATTTATTAAATGAGTGAGGACCTTTTTGAAGGTCTCTCAGTTTTCCATATATGAAAGTGAAAGAGTACATACGTAAAACTCCAAAATACCAAAAACACTATTAAAAGTATAATAAAAGTTATATTTTCTATGTCTATGAAAGTGCACTATTCTACATTTTCTGAAACCATACGACAGTTTTCCGCAAGATACAGACTAAAATTTTACATTTATTCACTGACAAATCAAATACGGCAACTTTGACATTAATGAGATTTGCTCATGAGACACGCGAGAATCAATGGTGTTTGATGTAATATTTTCAAAGACTTTATGACTTTTTTAAACATTGTAGAGCAATGAAAAGTTGAGGGGAAGATTATCAATTTTTGGCATTTTCATCGCACAAACATGAGATCATGAAAACGCCATGCAGTCCTTAACTCCGACTGAAATATAGTGCACAAGCTGTATGGACTACATTCATGATACTTATTTATTTATTTGACATTTTGAAGCCTGTGAGACCCAAGTTTTCCATTCACATTCATTATATGGAAGAAAAGTAAAACGTCGCTTGGACATTCTTCAAAAAATCTTTTGCGTTCTTCTGGAAAGATCTTATGAGTTTGTAACAACATGACTGTAAGTGAATAACGCTGAGAAAGAATACTGTCATTTTTGTCTGAACTATCCACTCAAAGAAAGGACGTAAAGAGAGAATTCTTTTAAACAAGTGAGAGAGAAAACACAAAGTGAACTATCTCAGATAAAGACAAAGAAAGACAGACCTGCTGTTAGATCCGAATGCAGCACAAAGAAATCAAATAAACAGAATACAAGCACAAGTAAATTTTCACATTTCCCAACACAACACTCATTGGTTTTCATTAGCTTGCTTTTCAACCTGCCACTCATATTCTCATTAACTACATTCTGACCACCAGGGGTTATCGCCATGGCAACAAAACCTCATGGCTCTCTGTCACAATCTTCTTTATGTCAAAGCCACAGTCACCAGGAAATCATTACCACAGACTGCAGAGCAGTTAGTCAGGAAACCCTTCATTTTCCCTCCATTATTCTCAAGGACACTAAAGAGTCAATAACTTTACAGAGTAGAACTCTACCTTCAATATTCAAACAAGTGACAAATGTCTGAAACAGAACTATAATATTACATAATCTTAATCTTCCCATTTAAAACTCCTATTCAGTAAGAAGAATGTTTTGAACTTTTGCACAAATTTACAGATTGTATTTCAGAAGATGACTGGCGAGAAAAAAAGAACCAGCTTTGATGTTGTTCAGTTTTGAGAATGCTCAAGGCTTGTGTGTCTTATTAGATAAGAATCGAATGTGTGTGAACAGAGCAAGTTCAGGATTAGGGAAACTAGGGGAGCTGAACTGCAGTAAAAACGCTCCAGTCTAAATACAGTTGTGAGGACACTAGTTATCAGTTCTTTCAGTTCTTCACTCTTTCCCTGCTTCCTTCTCTCTCTCACCAAAATTAAACGTGGCCAGTGCCAGCCCGGAGAATGTGTGGAAGAGATGAACAACTGTTGCAGATTGATGAAAGAAAAACCACCGGTACACCAGTGCAAAGGGATAACCTACAGGGAAAACAGAGAGAAAGAGATTAGGCACATGACATGATGTGATGCAACTGTAGACAAATGCTCCCTGCACCCTAACAGTCAAATCAACACGCATTAACATAACAATGGTCTTCTGAGGGTGCGACAGAGCATTTGACGGATTGGAATGTAACATCTGTTTTGAGGGTGTGGCCAGTTAAAAGTCAAGCAAGAATATAAAGATAGGATTTCTAAAAGCACAACTGAAAAGTAAAGAATTAAGTATGTGCCAGTATTAAAATTATGAATGACGGCAAGTTGATGATTATTCTCATGTTATTGTGACCATTAAGTGACCGATATTAAGATTCTATAATATTTTGTCTGAAAATGACAAACAATACAAGAATGCTAGAAATACAAGTAATACGGTTTAATACAACAGGTAAAGTTAGGCATCACAATATTATAATGTACAGTATGATAAAAGGAATATTCCTGTTATTTATGTAAAGAATACATTTAACAAACATTATCTTTTATTTTTTTACATTTTGAGGTTTAATTTAGTCATTTTGTGTTTTTCTTATTTTTAATATTTCTATTTGGCTTTAATTTATTTTATTTCAGTTTTAGTTTTAGTAATTGTGCAGCACTTCAATCAACTTATTTTATTTCAATTAGTTGCCAAGTCAACATTTTAAATGTTAAAGTTAAATGTTTTTAATAGTTGTAGTTTTATTCAACAATAACAACTCTGCTTTAAGTTTGCATTAGTTGGTAATCTAAATGGAAAAATATATTGTGCATCCCTGGTAAAGGTTAAAATATCTGAAACTTTGGGTGTTAATTTTTTTTTCTTATATGTGTATCATGCTATTCTCATTTTTCAGTGTTCTCTGATGACTTTTAACTGTAGGAAGTCTTCATTCTCTGACACATAGTTCTGCATTTCAGTTTTGCCATACATGAATGAATAAATATTCAAACAATTCTGGATTTCATTCAGTACAGATTTACAATACAAATGGACTCAAAGGCATCAAGCAAAAAAAGCCCTGGAAAATCAGCATAAGTTTAGTAGGCATCATTCTGATGCTAGATCCATACTGTTAAAACTTCATTGACACTTTACACATTACAGACACATTAAACACACAGTAAAGAAACAGTCTTTGCACTGAAATCATGCAAATGGTCAAACAAGCGTCTATGCCCAGGTTTAGCTGCCCCATATGTCATTCATCTGGTTGAAGTGGTTAAGCAGTCCACTGCAATGCACCTGACCAAAGTACAGATCACCCTGCTATCTGTTCTCACACCCCTATTCTTATCAACCTGTAACCTGATAGCTCGAAACCCAACTTCATTTGCATTGAAAGGTTACAACTAACTATTGGTCAAACAACTACAATTCAGTAGCAGAATAAAAAGACAGCTGTCAGACGAAGCTCTAACGAGACTGGAACTACTTTTAGTCCGAACATTCATGGCAGTTGTGTGCAGCTAACCATGAAATCTCGCCTGGCAGGTAGGTCACCCAATTCTGACTGGAGTCGGTGTGAATGGAGAGAGTTGTTGTTGGTAGCGTGTTTTTAGTGCTGCTTGGGAGCATGGTGGACATCTGTGTGACTTGAGCACACTTCTAGTACAACTACATAACTGTCCACGTTTTTAATGACTCCTAACAACGCTTATTACAAACCCGCAGCAGAGTCTAAATGACCTCGTTCACTTACCTAATAAGACCGACAGAATCAATCGAACCGCCGGTTCGGGTGAACCTAAATATTCGGCTAGTTTCTCCATGAAGGGAGCCGCCATCTTTAGTGTGGGCGGAAGTAGCTGCGGTTGGGTTTCCGTGAGTGTGTGGAGCTCGTGAGATCTCCACGCGCTCTTTAACTCCGTGCAGTTACTCCTCCTCTCGCCACCTCTCACACCATTCACAATGAACCTTTAACTTTCAGCTTGCGCAAACGCCTTGCTCAATATTTGTGCCATTTCAGTTCAAAGAACCTAAATGACCCGCGAAATGGGGATGAAATAGTTCATTCAGAATAATGGAAACGTTATTAATCAGTGAGTTTAGGTTTGGATAATAACACACACACACAGCAAATGTTACGAATGATATGCATATAATAAACTGAAGAGTGTCATGATATAAATATAAAGCAGCGTCACAATACTCCCCTCTAGTGTTTGTTAAAGCAAACGGGAATCGTACAATTTGGTTGCACTGATCCGGTTGCTGATGCTCTGTATGCTAGGAATTGTTTGTTTCGTTTCCAGCTCAAAGTTTTGCATTTCTCAAAATTGTTTTATTTTTATTTCAACCTCTAAAGCAGCTGAAAATAAGGAATGCCTTCAAGCTCTCTAAACGATTATATATTGATTAACCCCCATTCACGTCTGCTGTAATTTACCTCCATATGTCTCTGTATTTATTATTTGTAAATATATATTATTTGTATATTAAACTATACACATAACATTTAAGCCTCTTAAAATCTAACTTGATTGAACTAATCCACAACAACAATGCTCTCACTATTTTCAAGAATATACACTCCCGACCTTACATCCTAATAACAACAACTCACAGCTTTGTTTTAGACAGAAAACCTGGGCTTCCTTTTAAAGGAAACCTTCTGGACAAATACTAAAAGAGCAAATTTCTAAGTAAATGAGCACTATGAATCGTACTCTCTACTTTCGACAGGCATCTCGATCACGGTGACTACATAATTGGAGTCAAAACAAGTTATAAAGAAATCAGAAGACCAATTTAAATTTAAATAATTGTTCCATTTATAACTATTCGTGAATTTCATGCAACATTCTTTTTTAAATAGCTTAAAAAATTATGGAAAACATCTTTATATTTGACATTTGCGAAAAGCATTGTGGGTATGCAAATTTAGTCCCACCTCCAAGACCATCTTTGCCACTGAAGACATGTCGCCCTCCATCGGCCCCTGTTAAATATGGTAGATTTGTTTTTGCTATTTCACTTGGGTGTTTCAAAAGTAATAGATGAATAGAAATAATAGAATTGCAATAATGAAACAAAAAATATTGTAAAATATTCAGAGTTGCCCACACACCGTTAATATGCGCCAGTCAATGTGAATGTGATTCTCTTTCATTTCTGCACGCACCACAGTATATTACAGAAAGCAGAGGAATATATATATATTACCACATTTCAAAATTTTACAAATACAACCAGGAGTTACATCATGATAAACATATAATAAATAAATAAATAAATACAATTAAAAGATAGAAATAACCATAAAAAGTTAAAGACACTAACATTTTTACAAATATTGACATACAGCTTTCTTTTCAAATTTAATATTGTTTTTGTACATTTATGTTACATTTTATTTACATTACACAGTTTAGATATTAGAAGTAGCAAAATGCCATAAATGAAAAAAATAAATAAATAAAACATTTTCAAAACAGTTCACATTATGTGTTCTTTAAAGGGGTCATATGATGTTGCTAAAAAAAACATTATTTTGTGTATTTGGTGTAATGAAATGTGTTTATGCGGTAGTGATGATGCCCTGTCAGGCCGGAGCGAGGAGACAAAAACATGAAAACCCATTACAAACGAGGCATTCGTTGCATCCAGTGGGGACATAATTATGGATTATAATGACTTATACTGTCTTAAAACCATGTCTGCATTTGTGATCGGAGAAATGACAAACAAACA